CGCTGCTCCGGGCGCCGCCTGTTCTCGCTGGTGCGGGCGCGGCGCACCGGGCGCTTTCAGCAGATTTGTGACTTGGAAACGTCCCCGCGGCCCACAGGTGGCCCTGGCTTTCCTGATGACGCAGAGCCTGCTGTTCCAGGGCACCCCAGTGTGAATCGGGTGCCTGTCTGTGGGTCTTCACCCGCGCGCTTACGATTCAGTCGTATTATGGACACACTCAAAAGGTTAAATAATGGGTTTATTTATAAGGAGAAAGGTAAAGGGATAACCCAGGGAGAGGGAGAGGGAGAGAAACACAGGGTAACTAGGGTGTCCTGCCCGTTCTGCTGACCTGGACTCCACCGGCCGCTGAAAACCGATGGAGGCCAAAACGACCAGCCGCGAACCCCCAGGCCCAGAGCCCCCCAGAGCCCGCGTGTCCGGTTTTATCCCCACCTGGCTGCTCAGCGCCGCCCTCACGTCCCTGCGTGCTCCTTGGTACTGACGGGATTCGGAGTCGCAGCATGGAGTGGGGGCGGGTCCGTGACACCTGGGCCTGTCACACTGACGGGGAGGTGCTGTCGCGCTGCTTTCTTTGGCGGCGGCTGCTCTGGCGCCCGCTGGCAGGGGCCGGGGCTGCCACGCCCCACACCCCACGGGGCAGCGGCCCTGGGGGGACTTGCTTTCCCTGGGTCCCGCAAGCCCCGCGGCCCTCGGAGAGTGTGCTCCCCAGTGGCCCCGGCCGCGGCCCTGCTCGGCCACCGCTTTGCAGGGGGCAGGAGAGGCCAGGGCCTCCCAGCCTTCAGCCGGCAGCTCCCCCGGGCCAGTGAACGCTGGCGGTCTCTCGCTTCTTTCAAACATGCTTACAGATTCCATGCGGAAATCTGGCGTTTCTTGCAATATTTGCTCCCAGGCGTCTGTCCTTGGCTGTTACAATGGCGCATTTCCTTTCCTGATCTCTGCGGGTGACGGAAACACAGCCGAAGTTTCGCGTGTTGATCTCGTGCCCCGAGACCCCGCTGAAGTCGTCTGTGGGCTCCGGTAGCTTTTCCGTGTCGGGATTCTCTGTAAACGGCGCAGGTGCGCACGCTGCACAAGCCTCGCTGTGGAGACGCCGCGCTGGCCAGGGTTTCCTGCGCCGTGTGAGTGAGGTGGCGGCGGCGGGGTCCTCATCTCGCGTCTGACCTCAGGGACAGTTTCCCGCCTATGGTCAGCGTGGGCTCCCCCTAAGCCCTTTCTCCGCCGGGCAGTCCTGCCGGTCGCTGGCTCCGAGTGTTTCCGTTCTGAAGGGGTGTTGGCCTGTTAAGTGCTTGGCCCGAATTGGCTGCTGCGTCCCGGGTCTCCCCTCAGCGCCGTGTCTGCTTCGTCAGCCCTGGGCGGCGGGCGCGGGTCCGTGTCTCCCACGGCGGGTGTCCAGTGAGGGCAGATTCCGTCAGGCGGCTGCCCGCGGGGGCGCCTCCACCCCGGTGCTCTGGCGCCCTCCGAGCCTCTCCGGTCGCCATCTGCCTGCTGCGTCTCCGCTTCCTTCTGCCAACCCGCGGCTCCTGCCTGGAGCAACCGCGAATGTGGACGTGATGGACCAGGGGCCTGGCCTCCGCCCTCCCTGGGGGTCTCCTGTGGAGACACACTTTTGTGAGTTCAGATTGATCTGCGGCTCCCCCTGGTGGCAGCGGGTTGGGGCGCAGCCCTACAGGAGAGACTCCCCTGCTTCCATGGGAGTCCCACCCCCACGCAGAGGGGACCCCCAGGCTGGGCGGGCCCCTCCTGTCTCCCCGCTGCCCCTCACAGTGGACGTCGTCCGCCGGCCTGTCCTGCTCCCCGCTACGTCTCTGGTGAAGCCGCTCACCCCCCGGCACCTCTGGCCTGTACCCCACTTCTGTGTGCATAATATAGAAATCTTTAAAAAGAGAAAGACCTTGCAGTGCTGTGGATTTGTACTGTATTTGGATTTGCCTTCAATTTCTCAAGCAATTCACAAATGCATATTTATATATTTATCTCCATGCCCGAGAACGTTTAGACTGAGCGAAACGATGCTCAGGTGACTCCTCACGTAAACGATGCACTTGGCAAATGTGGCCGCAGCGACCAGCCCCGGCCGCTCGGCCAAGTGGAGAAGAGGCGCCACTGCCTGGGGCGCGGCCAGCGGGAGGCGCCACGGACAGACCAGCCGCCGGGCGTCTGCCGCAGGCGCCGCCTTCAGTGCAGCACTGTGACGTCTCGTGAGGAGGCAATGAAGCCGCCATGCAGTGCTTCAGTTGCACAAACTCACATGCCAGGGCTGACACAAACCGGGGTTCATCCGGGCTCCCCGCCGCTCCCCCAGCGCGGCGCTTTCCTTCCCGTGGCCTGGCCCTCGTGACTGCGTCGGTCCAGGAAACGTCCACGTCACCTCTGCTTTGTGCCCCGAGCCCCTTCCGGGTGGCCGGCGACGGGAGGGTCTCAGAGGCCCACGGCCACCTGCGGCCGCTCTGACTGCCGCTGGCGCACAGGTTCAAGTGGCCCGTTGCGTGGTCGGCGGCGGGGAGGGGCGCG